TGCCCAACATCCCCAGAGCAAGTAGTGTCCCAGGGCCCCAGGTCTGTCTTGGAGACAAGGGCTTGGAGAACACCCAGCCTGGCCCTTACGCCTCTGCTGGCTCTGCAGGGCCCCTGATGGTGGCCCAGACGCAGCACCCTGTGGGGTGGGGGGAAGATGGCAGGGAGAGAGCTCTCCAGGAAGCTGGCCCCACCTGAGCCCAAGCAACCATGTCCTGCAATGCCCAGCCTCACCCCTGCCCCCCATCCGGCATGCCCAGGAATGTCCAGGTCCTCCCAGATGCAGGTGGGAATGTGGTTGACCTAGAAGGGAGAGAGCCCTGCCTCCCATCCTTGTGTCTAAGCGCGAAGAAGTTCCTCGTCCCAGACTCCCCTCACAGAGATCCGAGCAGAATGGGTGACAGAGAGACTTTGATGTTCCGAAGCCCCCACCCAGCCAGGTTGGACGCCACAGCCCAGGCCATTCCCAGGATCTCTCCAAGGCGCTGGACCTGAGCAGCGCTATCTGCTGCCACCTGGTGGACCCTCGGTCCCAAGAGCTGCCAAGCAGGGTGCCCATTCTGAACACCTGTCAGGCTCCCTGCTCACCTGACACGATGGCCTTGCATAGAGCACCATCCTGGAAGGGTCAGCCCATGGGGCACAAGTACACCTGCTGGCTGGGGCTGCACCTGGCCTTGGGCACAGGGCTCTCTGGTGCCAGCAGTCTCCCCAAATCACCTCCCTTCCTTATGTCCTTCTAAGCCATGAGCAGGTATAGCCGGCGGGCCAGGAGCCTGCCTCCCAGTGCGCCAACCTTAATGAGAGCACCCACCTGGCAGGATTATAATCTACGCATACCATGACACATGGTGGGTGGCTAGTGACTGATAGCCATGGCATCCAGGAGCCCTGGTGGCACCGTGTGAGTGTCCGGCTGCTGACTGCAAGGTCAGGGACCCCAAGGGAGCGGCTGCTGGAGAGAGGAAGCTGGCTGCCCCCAGAGACTTACAGCCCTGGGCGTCCTGCCTGGGTCCCTGTGCGGTAAGGGGCCCTGGCAGCAGCATTGCTTGCACACTGAGCTGCTACAAGATGCGCGGTTCGAAACCACCAGCTGCTCTGCAGGAGAAAGATGAGGCTCTCTACTCCTATAAAGAGTTACGGTCTCAGAAACACCCCGGGCAGTTCTCCCCGTCCTGTGGGGCATGAGACGGCACGGCCTCGGTGGCAGTGGGCTTGGTTTCAGATGCGTTAACAGCTGGCTCAGCGGCAGTGAGTTGGGCTTTGTATTTTGGTGGTCGGCATGGTCCTCAGCCTGCACCCCACCACACACACACACCCCTACCCCGCCCTGTTCACTGAGGAGCCCTTCACTTGGCACCATGCCAGGCACACTGCAGACGCTCCCAAGATTTGTGAATGGGTGTTGGTGAGGGATTTGTTTAGCGGGGATGTCTGACCCTTCCCTCCTGTCCCCATCTGACCCGCACGCCCTCCCGTGGCGACACCAGGTCAGGGTTGTCTTCCTTATCAAGAGGTGCCTACAGGAGGTCCCGGGGATGCTCCAAGGTGGCCCCAGCCCCTTGGAATCTCAGGCCCTGACGCCCATAAAGACCAAGGGAGCTGGGCTGCTCACCACAGGTCAGCAGTTTGAAACCACCAGGCAGCCTCTCCACAGGAGACACCCGAGGCTTCCCACACCCTAAAGAGTGACATCTTGGAAACCCACCGGCCGTACCGCCCTGCCCTCCAGGGTCGCGGTGAGTCGGCACCGACTCGATGGCAGTGAGGGGGTGGGGTGGCAGTGGGCATTTGTGGGGTAGAGACCTGGGCATTTGCTCCCCACCCACCCCCAACACACCCATCCCCAGGCCTGTGCTGCGTGTCGGGCAGGTTCTGTTTGCAAGTGAGCTTTGGGTCCACCTTTCCCTCCCAGCTCCGGCAGCCTCCTCCAAGGACGGGGCTAGGGGGCATTGATTGAGAGCCTCTCAGAGCCCCCCAGCAAAATGAGGGAGAGGCGGGAGGGAGACAGTGACACACACACACACACACACACACACACACAGTCAGGCCCAGAGAAAAATGACGCGAATGCAATGGAAACTAACGAGGGAGAGCCCCAAATCACTGGCCTCTCTGTGTCCCCACCTCAGCCTGGCCAGCACTCAGCCCTGCCCTCCACGCCACCCCAGCCAGGGTGCCCTCTGGCCTAGCGGGTAGGGAGAGGCCACAGAGAGCAGGGTTGATGGCAGCACGCACGCTCCGCAGCAGGCTGCTGGCCTTGGACCGGGCATCCACCTGCTCGGTCCCCCAGCTCCGCAGCCAGAAAACAGGGGCCGGATCTCTCCTCTAACTGTGGGAAGAGGTGCCCTTGAAATCCGAGGGGTGCAGGTCTCCTGGTCCTCTGCAGAAGGCTGCGCTGGAATTATGCCCTGAGCTCTTTGGAACCCTGCCCCTGCTTTTCCAAACAGGAGGGACTGGGCCCCCTTTGTGGAAGTCGGGGAAACTGAGGCAACAGTCTGTAGCACAGCAAGGGTTCCTGGTGTGGGGTGGGCCAGACAGGGTGCAGGAAGCCTCCCTCCCCACCCCCCCAGGCCAGAGAGGGCTGGAGGGCTCAGGGTTCCAGCCTGAATCAGCCTCTCCTTGACCGTGCTGGGGCCCAGGGGCAGATGGGAGTCCTTGGCCAGGGCAGCCCATCGATCTGTTCTGGTCTGGTGGCCCCAGAGACACCTCCAGCTGGGGATGAAGCCAGAGAGGGACAGATTCTGCTGCCAAAGCACAAAAGGCCCCACGCCAAGTAAGATGAAGGAGCTGACACCCAGCGCTGAGTGCCCTGGAGTTAAGAATGATACTGTCCTGGCACAACCCCGGGGACTGCGGTCACCCCTCCCATTGATCTTGGCCACCCCTGATGCCACAGCGGCGTCTGCAGCACAGGGTGCAGGCACGGGGACAGCTGAGGGGGCCCCAGGATGGCGCTCTGTGACCTTGAGTCTGGCCCTGGCCTCTAGGAGCTGGGCTCTCCCCCGCCCCCACCCCCACCCCAGGATAGGCGGGCAGGGAGGTGGTGAGAGGAAAGTTGGTGGGCACAGGAGCCCTTAGCGAGACTGAGGCATTCCCAGGGCCTTTGCCTTCTGTTCGCCTGCTGGCTTCACAGTGTCTGGGACAGCGCCCAGCACGATGAGTGGTGAACCAGGGCAGTGGGCCGTGGGCTGGAGAGCTAGAGGGGCCAGGGTTTCTGGGCCCCCAGGTCTGAGACACTTTCTCTTCCCAAAGAGGTTCGCCCATCTCCCTCCCTGAACCACCCTGTACCTGCCCCAACTCCCTGGGACCCACCTACCTTTCAAACCAGGTCGCAGTCGTGAGCACCCTCCCGTGCCTGGCCATCCTTGTCACAGAAGCCTGATCTTCTTTTGCAAATCAACTTACCATCAAAAGCTCCAAAGGAAGGAAGAGGCCGTTGAGCACAAGGAACCCGGCTTCCAAAGCCCAGGGTTTAAAGCCCTACCAAAGAATAGTGGGGAATGAGGCTGTAGAGAAAACGGGACCCACGTGAACAGCTCCTATGAGTGTCAGACGTGTGGCCTCCGTGGCAACATTGTGGTAGGTCCTCAACCAGGACCCAGCAAGTCCACTCCCAAAGGACTAGATATGGCTATTGACCTCAGCCCTGGCCCCTTATCCTTGATAGGTAGGTAGGTAGGTAGGTGAGTAGGTAGATCAAAGAACTTGAAGCAGGGAATCAAGCAAACACGTGTGCACCGATAATTATCCTCACACTCTTTACAATAGCCAAAGAGGGAAATACCCCAAGCGTACATCCAGAGCTAATGGATGGACAAGATGTGGGGCATGCACACGTGGGCCGTGATTCGATCATGACGAGTCCCGATGTGTGCTAAACACCCGTGTGCTCGGTGAAACACGCCAGGTACAGAGAGACACATACGGTGTGAATCCACTTATACAAAACATCCGGAACTGGCAAAGTCCTAGAGATAGAAAGTAGATGAGAGGTTACCAGAGGCTGGGGGACGAGGCATGGGGTTCTTGCATAATGGGTACAGAGTTTCTGTCTGAAGAGGTGACCGCGTTGAGGAACTAGACAGTGGCCCCACGGGGCCCTGGGGAACACAAACGTCTGAGCTCAGCTGCCACCTGGCTCCACCCCCCACACCCCCCAGTGTCCGACAGAAGAGAGGCCAGGCACTCAACATCAGCAGGATCGC